AACCAAGATACATCACGTAAAGGTACAAGATCCCAATGATGAATGTAACTGTATTGTATACCTAAAATGTACCAATAAAGTTAATGGGGAAAAAAAGTCAGTTTAATGCAGGTTGGGAGCATAGCCTCTGAGGTCACATGAACCTGGATTTCAACCTGAGCTTGGTCGTGCATTATTAGTGATGTAAGTTGTAACTGTTTTGAGCTTAGTACCATCATCTTTAAAATGGGGATAAGACCACCTACCTCACATTGGAGATGACAGATCAAGTAACTGACTTACAAAGATTATTTAATATGTAATATCATTAGGTGAGAAGTCCCATAATGAAATTGAAGGCCTTGTGAATAGAACTTCAGGTAAGCACATCCTTTTCCCCCTAGGCTACCCAGTATACAAACCTTCTCTTACTTTGCTTTCAGCTATTTATACTTCTGCACCTCTACCCTATTTTGACAATGTTGAACTAAGCAGTTAATGATTCCTAATTAACTTGCCTTTCTGCCTATTCCTGAAAACCTGTCAAGTCCAATCCAGCCTAGATGATATCAAGGGTACTCTGTGTGTTTGTTGGGAGCAAGTAGTCAGGTAGATACTGAATGCAGAGGATTTGAAAACTTTCAGATAAGAATAAGGCTCCCTTGGCCTCCATAATCTGAGACGTTAGCAATCAAATGAAAAATTGGAAAAATCACATATGAGCTAAGGATCTCATTTGTCTCCCAAACCTCAGGTCACTATGGCCTTGTCCCACAGGGAGTCCATGAATGCTCCTTGCTCACATGATAGCCATTCAGGTGTCTGAGTGGAGGGTGGTGCTTAGAATGGCCTGGTTTGGAGCCTACAGTTATCTTTGGGCCAATACTTCTCAAAATTGGTCTAGGACAAGACTAGTTTCTGGGAACAATTGGACAGGAAGAGTTCTTGCCAGAATCTTCTATGACATGTGGCATTTTTTCAGACTTCACATCAAAATGGTAAAATTTCCATCAGTTATATGGAGCTTAATGAACACTGGCTAGAAGTTGGTGCTGGGCAATTGTGAGCTTCTCCCATGGACAGTTTTAAAATTCAACCTTTTTTTTTGTATGGTTGAATCTTCTACAAGTCATTTTGTTGTTAAGATATGTGTAATAGTAGCACTTCTCTGACCAGAAAAAGAAAAAAAAGAAAAAAGAGATGAGATTCCAGTATGTGGCACCTTTGTAGAACTCTCTTGCAATGTAAAAATACCAGGATGATGGGCTGGGATTTGGCTCAGTGGTAGAACATATGCTTAGTGTACAGGAAGCCCTGGGTTTGATCCCCAGCACTGCAAAAACAAGCAACCCAAACTAATCATGATGATGCTGATGAAAGGTGCAGGTACAAAGACACAGAAGAGATGAAGCTTCTATGTAAACTTATACACTGAGATCTGTTCTCTAATTCTAGGATTTACTGGGAAGAACCCTGCCATGGACATCTTGGGGTTCTAGAAAGGCCCTGTTAGGGACCACTGGGGGAGCTCCTGTTCAGCCCAGAAATACAAATAGGAATTAAGATGATGCTATTTAATGAGGACAGATGAGTCCTTCAGAACAAGATGAGTGGACAAGTCAAAATAGAAACATGTGAAAGCCATGAAGCGTTGGGTAATCTTTCTGACTCATCCCTACAGAGGACCTAGTAATGATAAAACAGGGTACACTTTTTTTTTTTTGGTACCTGGGATTGAACTTGGGACCTTGTGCTTGTGAGGCAGGCACTGGAACCACTGAGCTAAACTGCTGGCCCCTAAGTAGGCTACTTTTGAGAGTCAGATAAAAAAATTTTAAAATTAATGTTAACTGAAGTTTTCTTACTGTGAGTTTCAAGGGAGTGGTTCTAATTTGAACAAACATCAGGATCACACAAACAGCTTTCTAAAACACACACTGCTAAGGCACCAGCCCAGAATTTTTATTAAGTCCAGGATGAGGCCTAAACATCTGTATTTCTAACAAGTCCCTAGGTGGTGCTGATGCTGCAGCCTGAGAACTAGAGTCCCAGGAATATGACTTAAAGAATTGGTTGTAAAACAAAAGTTCTCACCACCCTACTTCTTCTCCCCCTAATAAATAAATCAATAAAACAAAACAAAAAATAAAATATCAAACATTTCAACAAGTAATGTTATACCAAAACCTGTCTGTAGAGATGATTTTTAAAGAGGAATATTAATCTGTGAGCAGGAAGAACTCTGCACATATCTCCCTAAAGACCAGCCCTTGTCCACTGTTAAGTTTCCTGTCAGATTCTTTAACAGAAGCCTAGGCATCAGCACGGTATCATTCCTGCATTTATACCCATAGAGTGATCAGGATAAAACTCTCCAAAGTCCATATTTTAAGCACAAAAACATACACATGCTGCTGAAGAGGTGAAGTTGAGTGATTCTACAAATGTTTCCCTTTCCCCCGTCCCTGTAGATCCCTAGAGGCTTTTCCCATGGCCTGGGTTACAAAGAGTTGAATTTCACCCTACTGTCAGAGACCCAACTTCCAAAGGCTACCTGAGAGGAAAGGTTTCTCTCTATACAAACAATAGACCCAGCAGCCTGGTAAGGAGGTAAACAGAGCAGTCTGATAATCCATGCAACTGTGCCAGAAAAAATAGGAGTGTTTAGGAATCAAAGAGAAAAAAATTTATAATGAAATTTTATTACATAATTTCTGTATTCAACAAACATAAGAAAGGGGTTCTTAATGAAAGTTTCATGTCATTTTTCAAAAGTTTTCTACTCTGGAGAAAAATTATTACAAAGCTATCTAAGACAAGAATAACATTTGACCTTCAAATTAAGTGATAATCCTTTTCATTACTTTTCATTTTTAAAGCAAGACATTTTAAGCACAATTAAAATGGAGACTTTCAAATTGCTATATTGTTTTCATTAAGAATTTCAATGATCTAAGAAGTGAAAAGTATAAATAGAAATGTTCTTTACTACAATAGATACTGCTGCATTCTTCAGATCCATTCTTCATGGCAAGATGGATGCATTCTTGTACAATAGTAAAATTTCGTGTCTTCCAAAGGTACAGTAACACTGGAATGCAGAGGGAAAGTACTATGCATTTCCTACATTAAATGGCATAATTCCCACAGATCACATACACCTCACCATATTGACTCATTTCATTGCACTCCATATCCTGCAAAAATAAATCTAGTGCTTGACAGCTGACATTTTTGCTCACTGACGTTTTAGTAGTATATTTCTTTAACATAAGACAGAAATATACTGAAATTTGATACCACTTAAACCCAAATGCAATCTGGAATTAAACCACATGTATATACCCCACTTCTTTTTCATTGGATAGATGTTGCATTTTTCTTAAAGCTGGTGCTGGAAAAAATTGGCCTTTCTTGAAAAACAGACTAAAGCTTAGAAAGGGAGGGCATTTTTTTACATTTTTTTATTTTTTGAGGGAAATGCTGAATCCTACTATAAAAATGAAGGTACGACAATACAGTATCTCTGGGGAGTGAGAAGAAGCCCCTCAGTTATCTCCCTCATCTACCCCAACAATGTGGTTCATATCCAGTGCCCGAGGGAGATCACCATATACAGCTGGAGTGGCTGACAACTGCTGTATATGCCTCTAAGTTGGGCTTTGAGGGCAGTCTGGATGCTGATGGCTAATCTGGTCTTTAATTTTACACCTTATTTCTAGAGGGAAATGAAGCCTGCAAATTTCAAAGTGACCCTAGGGCCTGGGGTGAAACATCTGGGGCTGAGGGATCATCCAAATAAGAATGTGATTCCTCTGGTATTGCAAAGCTGCAGTACACATACTAGTGAAGAGTTATCAGATGTCAGGGTGTCCCCGAGGTGTCTGAAGAAGGATGAATCATATAGACATGGCCACTCTCACATTTTGATTTGTCACAACTTTTCATTCTCACTTCCCTTCCCATTGTGGCTTCATAATTGTCAAGCGTCCTTCTTTCTTACTTTTGTCTTATAAGAAAAGACATCAGTCTTCATTAACTATCAAAGATTTAGAAAAATAGTATTTTTAAAAAATTGCATTTCAAGATTAGCATTCATAATTAGGAACACAAAATTTAACAGTCACAAACCATGCCTTCACATATAGATACAACAATATCAACTTGTATCACTATTGTTCATATCTGTGAAAACCCTATTGTTCACATTGACACCCATTCTACCATACTATAAGTTATAAAGCAACTGAACAGAGCTTCTTAAAGTATATCCATCCATATTGCTACAAAGAGAAAGTGCTGTCTTTTGGCCCAACCATTTCCATATCAATCAGCTAAGTCAACCTCCACTCCTTTCCACTTCAAATGCCTGGGCTTTGGCCTCTGCAGCTATTAGAACCAGATCAATTTAAGTTTACAACACTGATCCTAATTGTATAGCAATGTGGTAAGTTTGCCCTGAGAGTGTCAATGCATTTTGAAAATATTATAAGTCCCAATTTATACATGAAGAAACAGGAACAGAAAGGTTAAATGGCTTGTCCCTTGTCACACAGAAGATTAGTATTAAGTGTGGAAGTTGGGCCTGGTTATTTCTGTGTTAATACCCAACATGTCCTAGAGGTCACCTGAAGCTCTGTTATAAGATCTGTGCTTTGGTTCTGTTACTTGCAGCATCCTGTCAGCTTTTCTGCCCAGCATTGGATTTCTTAGTACTCAAGACTTCTCCTTGGTCTTCTCTGCGCGCTCTCTCTCTCCTTCCCTCCCTCCCTCTCCCTCTGTCTCCCTCCCTCTCCCTCTCCCTCTCTTTCATTTTTGGTTCCTTGAAGAAGTGTGTTGTCCTCAGTATTTTACTTTATGCAGAGGAATGTACCCAAAATGGCCTTCTAGTTGCAGCTGTTATTAGGTGTCAAGAGAAGGCCTTACAAAAAGGCAATGGGCAGGTGTTCTTCTTTGTGAACTTTAGACAAAATGAAGCTCAAAATTTTACAGTTGTCTTACATTTCAATGTTTTCAATGGAAAATAAAATAAAATAAAGTGAGGGCCTAATCATGAGGTAATGTTTATTTCTCTGCCACAACATTCAGTGCACCCCCTCAGATCTGGCAATAATTTAACATAAGGAAAGATTGTAGACATTCACACCCTTTTAGGAGAAAAAACAAACTTAGCTCAAACTTTCCCCAAAGCTGAGAAGTCTCTTAAGACATCTGTCCTTATCTTAGGTAGATTCCTGCAATACCTTAAGGCCATGTGTCAGTGTCCTGCCCTGCCCTGCTCTGGTCCCTACACAGGAGATCTCAATTTTTACATCCAAAGATTAGGCACCCTCTACTTCTTAATTAAGAGAAAAACAACAACAAAGCTCAAAAGAAGGTGAATGCTCAAAGAAAATAATGCCAAAGAGTGGATAAGGGGCTTGTGAAGAAGTTTCACAAAGATATCTCCATCTGCAAAAGCTATAAACAGTTCTGGACCTAGTCAATAGCAAAATACACGGATGAGCTGAGCCTCCCTTTAAGCAAAAGAGGAAAACATATCATAGCACAAAGCTTCCTTTATAGTTTTTGAAAAAATATATCTAGGAAGATAAACAATTTTGATATTTTTAATAAGCTGTGCATTAAGTACACTTTGTTTCCACCACTCTCCATTACTCTACAGCTCGGCTTTGTCTGTCTGGGCCGAGCTGCTGACCCCACTGTCTCCTTCCGAGCCGCTGCTGTCTGCAGGTGTGAAGGACAAGGAAGCCGAATTTATACAGTATCTTTTGCCGGTTGGGCGAGGTCCATCATCAAAAATGTGCCCAAGATGAGCACCGCACTGAAAGAGAAGAAGAGCATGTAAGGCAGAAGCATGTACAAAGCAGGCTTTGAGAAGAACACACGGTAAGCAGTTTAAATGTATGGCCAGCCTGTGCAGAAATGATGGAAAGCATCCTGGATGATTTCTAATCCACCTGTCAATAGCTGGAAAGATGTTTTCTGGCAGGCATCGTACCACATGCTGGGAATAAAAACACACTAGAATTGTGCATATCAGAAATCATTTAGAGCCACTGTATTTTTTGATCTGTGAAGTCTCTCAGCCAGCTGAAAAATGACTGCAGTAATTTTATGAATAGAATTGACCTTTGATCTCTCCTTGTAAGAAACATGGCAGAATAAAATCTCTACCCCAGTGCACCCCCTGGCATTTCTTCTGGCTTTGGATGGGTGGATTTTAGATATGCAGAAGTCCTTTGTAAAAGATAGTGCTAAACTGGCCACAACAGAAGTGATGTTTGCTTTCATGGGCAGTAAAACTTAACATCAGACAAACACTGGATACTCGCAATAGAACCCAGGGAAGCTCAGCAGATTTATGTCACAGTCACCAGGGCTGCAAGTGTAGCAAATGGCAATGTTTCTTCCCCACGTAATTGTTTTTTCCTCACTTCCAAAAAGTGGAGTGTCATGCTTGCTTCTTTACTCAAATGAACTATAATGTGTGGAGAAGGAATGAGCTATTTAGCTAGAATCAATGCTACTATCCAAAAAGCTGGGGAAAGAGAAAAGACCTAGAGTGCAGAAAGATTAAAAAGGATTGTTGGCTTTGATGGTGTTTAAGCAAAATCCAGCCCAGAGAAAGTTTCTCTAAAAAACTGAATAAAGCCCTGCGCTAACCCCTTCATGTCAGGTAAGTTCCAGGAGATGAATGATGGCCTATGTCACACTTCCATGTCTCCCACCCTTTCTCAGCAGGGGTGGGGCAGGAGGAGGAAGATGGAGACATCAGTGCACTACATTCCAACAGGCTGTAAAAATACACTATTTTTTGTGTAACAAAGAACCCAAAGGCTGGGGTAAATGACTTCCATTCATTGCATTCATTGATACAACATTTATGGAACATCTGCTACATGCCAGGCATCACCTCAGAGTCCGGAGATATAAGCAATAATCCCTGGCCTCAAAAAGCTTACATTCTAGTGAGGGAAACTGACAATGCACAAGAAAGTAAATGAACTACAAAGTACGGTAGATAGAAATCAATGCTAAGAAGAAAAAAAGGAATGTGATGTTGTGATATCAACAAGACAAAGTTTGAAGGAACAGGCCTCCCTGGGGTAACTTTGTAAATACGACCTGAAGGAAATATCTAGGGGAAAACATTTTGAGGAGAGAGAAGAATCAAGATTTAGGTAAGAATGTGACCAAAAAAAAGGGGCCCATAGATGATATATTTATTCTTCTCACTGGGCTCGTTCAGTGTGCAAAATATTTAAAAAGGATAGAAAAAGAGTATGAATTGACAGTGAACTGGGGCAGAGATACCAAATGGAGGTGATGAAACAGAAATGAGGGAGAATGCTCATTACAATGGAAAGAACCAGGAGAGTTCATTTCAGTTTCCCCATTGAAGGTGCTAAATTCAATTCTCAAGAGTTCCCTATTTTAGGAAGAAAAGGTCCAAATGGGTAGGGGTAGTGGGAGGGGCAGGGGAAAGGAAAGAAGGGAAAGGACAAATGATGAGAAATGGAAAAAATGGAAATAAAGTCTTTGTAAATAGGGAAGGGTGGAGGGCGTGAAGGGAGGGCTAGGAATGGGGAAAAAAATGAGAACCAAGATGCATTATGTAAAGGTACAATTCCCAATGAGAAATGTAATTGTGTTGTATACCTAACGTGTACCAATAAAAGAATTTAATATTTAAAACAAAAGAGTTCCCTATTTAGTAATAAATAACACAAATTGCAATTTTGACTATATGGCACTTCCATGTTAAAAGTGCATTCTTATTTTATGGCCAACATACTGTGTCAGCTTATTAAAGAAATAAAAATGAACCCTGAACTGATTTGATCTATTACCTGGAAAATATGAAACAGGCCTAAAAAACAAATCTTGCATTATTTTACCACATTCTATGGAGGTTTAGGTAATATCAAAGTTGACAGCTCAGATTGCTTTTCCTTTCTAGAAACAACTGAGGCCAAATTTTCAGGCATCAGCAGCTAAGATGCACCAGTAAAAATACATACGCTTACCCAACGGACACAGGAAAACACCTATTACTGCCTGCTGAAACAGCCAGGGTGCAGGCCAGCAGGAACCAATGCTCTGTGACCGGTGTATGTGCACAATTATTAATCTCACATGCACTTTGATCACTGACATATGAGAAGTGAAGTTTTCACATCAGAATCTTAATGTGTGTGTATGTATGTATGTATAGTGAGAGAATACAGCTACTTGAGCAAAATAAATATTGCCTTCCTTTATTAATAATCTCTTATTAATTCTATTTATATTACACCAAAACCCAAGTATAGTAAGGACATACTCAGAGCTGTTTAGAAGTAAATTATATGGTCTTCATTTCCCAAATAAATTTTTAAAAATTCAAATTACAGTAACTCAATCTTTTGAACTGAGTTTGTTTTCAATTGTTTCATTTCCTAATTTGGGACTAGTCTTCTGGTTAAACAGAAAGGAAAACATTGATTCTAAATACAGTGGTGGGGGGTAGGAAAAGAAATTATAATTAGAAAAATGCAACAAAAATCATTTGCAAACAAATAAACGGGTTGAGAAGGGGTATGGAAATCCTCATAAAAGGTGTGTTTCCCCAAAAATGACAGTGATGGTTTCATGGTGTTTGTCAGATGTTTTGAAAGATTCACAGCAGAATTAGGTTACCAAGAGTGGAACATTTCAAAACATAGACAGGTTCATTCATAAAATCTGTGCCACCGCATACATGCCCACCCACTGCCTGCCAAGCAGCAAGTCCACTTACCTGAGGGAAGGCTAGCTACACAGCACTGTTTGTGCTTCCTCTCCAGACACTCAGTCTCCCATAACAGCCTAACATAGCCCAGTTTCCCCGAAAAGTGTTTGAGCACTGAAGGCTCCTCCCTGGGGGGAAAGCACATGGAGCCCATTCTTTCCAGCTTCTAGCCTGGCTCAAGGCTGGGATGATGAATGTGAATGGAAGTTGTCAGTGATGTACTGTTTCCTTAGCTGCCTGTGAGCTCTGTCTCCCACCCCAGCCAACTGGCAATGTGTTGGGATCCCTCACACACCTGGTTGTAACTGAAACAAACTGGTTGCCTGATGAAGAAATCTCTGAAACCTGCTGTTAATGATTTATTTCAGGATAAAATTTTTGGTGTGTGTTTTGAAAGTTACTTTCAATGGTTATGTAGTTCTTTATTTTACAGGTATGTATAAACCATACCTGAATATTCTAATCCTCATTCAAGAAGCATGAGATAATGGTTTGAAAGAAAATTTTTAATTCCCACAGTAATCCTTCATCATCAAAGCCTCCCACTCAAAAAAGTTGGCAAGAACCTGGAGAGGACCAAATGAAAGGACCTCCTAAAAATATGATTGAGCATCAAATTTAACATAATTCCTTAAAATCTGACTGCAATTCTCAATCATGTGTTTAAGAGATACAAATAGCACATTCAACACAGTTACATATTTCTTTACTGATGTATTTCCCACTGTCCTAGAAGGTTTTCTCCTAGCTGTTCCTACAGTGTTTGGGCTTTATTATTGTCATTTTCTCTTAAGTGTTTGATCTATCTATGAAGCATTTTCAAAGAGGGGCTTTTACACTTAGGCTCATGGGACAGGATGAGAAAGAAAATAGTTTTAAGAAGAAACACAATTTATTTTGCCAGTAGTATTCTGTTTTCTCCCACAGTTATTGAAGACATTTGTGTGTAGGTAATGGCTCTTTTTCCTCTGTGCTTATAATATTAATCTTTTGCTAAGGAAATGATTGTGAAGTCACCAGTTTAGCATTATGATTTTACTGAAAGATCAAGAAAAAGAGAGATGGGGTGTGAGTCTGAAATCCTATTGTAACACATGGGTATCTTTAATCATCAGCAATATATGAGTTGTCATCTGCAGAAGATTAATACGGTTTGGAGTTTTACCAAAAACTGCATTGGTGCTATTTACCATTCTGTTGATTTGGCTGACTTAAGATAAATTAATAATGATCTAAAACAAACTTAAGGAACTCTACCACAGATTCAAGAAATAATAGCAGCAGTTACAAACAGACCCCAACCAGGGTAAACTCAGGGATCTGATGTTTTCCTTAAAGATTATTACAAAAAGGCAAATGATTTATTAGTCTCCCATTTACTCCAGATGTAGAATTTTGATCTTAAGAAGGAAGAATTCCCCAAGTATTTCCAGGAGGGACTTATTTTGCTGACTACAGCTTTGACCATGCAAATCTTACCTCTTTGCACTGAGTTTAAACTCCTTTCAAAAGTGTTGCTTAGCAGGTTGGGATTGAAGGATTAGGGAGATGCTGTCAAACAATTATTTGCAGTAGTCAGTGAAACTGGCATAAAAGCAATGTATTTTATCACAGGTGAAAATACAAATAAAATTAAGGAACACTGTTTCTAATTGAAAATTATTAGAAATTTCAGGCCAGGGAGTAGACATATGCCCACCAGAGTAGGTAAATTGATGATAAAGATCCTTTTTGGAAGAAAGAATTGGAATACAATTTTTCAATTCAGTAGGTAGAATAGCAAAAGAAAACAAATACGATCGTAGCACAACTCAGCATGCGAAGGGTAATCTAAATGCATGTGGCAATCGTAATGAAAGTAGTGAAGAATCTCTACCACTAAGAATCTAAGAATCTAAGAATCTCTTACTGCTTTTCTGTTAATGATCAAGCATGTGCTAGGTTTCTTACAGAACATGTCTTTTGCGAAGCTCCTTAGGAAAATGGAAATAGGACTGATCCAATCTTAACTTTGTCAATGAATGTTATTATGCAAATTTATTTGCCTACTTTGTGCCTCATTTTTCTCAACTGTAAAACCCAGGGAGAATAAAAATACCTACCATACAAGGTTACTGGAAGCATTAACCCAGGGAGCTTCAAAAATGCTGTTATGCAGGCTCCCCTTAGTTGAATTAGAGTCTCAGAGGATGAAACAGCATCACAAAATGCCTTTAGTCTCATTTCTCAAGAACAAGAGTAATCTGAAAATGTGATTTAGATAAAATATGCTTTTCCAGGGATAGGGTGGTCCTCATATTTAGAAGACAGTAAACTTGACAACCTTCTTTAAAAACAAACTGAAAACAGAAATTCACCAAATGATGAGGTTCAGACCAATCTCCTTTTCTACTTGGTAGTGAATATGCCACTCACTCCCTAAACTCTTGTGCCTGATAAGGCAGTTAATGAAAAATAGATAAAGGGCAAGTAGCGGAATCCTGAGGGAGGCAACTGTGGCAATCACTTTGCTGCCTGATGGTGCCTCTTTTATTTCTCTGATCCATGCAAAAGATATCACCAGACAAAACACTCTAGTATTAATGAATGTCAGTGCCACAATTCTCAAACTGTACTTAAAGCAGATTGGTAATCAGGACTGCCTATTAGAGAATATGTAGTTGTTCTTATTCTATGTCCATGGAAGTTCTAGCTATATTTTTAGGTTTAATCAAAATGCCCCAAAATTTAAGGTTCTCAATAAAGTATCCTTGCCTCTTCCTCAAAATGTGTTCATTTCCTCCCTTAGAGCCAGCATTAATTTGTTTAGAGACATATTGACAGAGATAATTAGAAAATCCTTGGAAATAAGGATAAGTCTATAAAGCAGGAGAAGCAGAGAAAAGAATTACTTTATCTCATATTCCCACCATGCCTTCAATTAGCTTAAATAAGCTTTTGCTTCCTACACCCTCTCTTCAACCTTCCTCCTCATATTCACCCAAAGAGAAGCCAATTCTGGAGTCTTCATTGACTGTGTTTATATTATAGCCATCAGTACCAGGATTGAACAGTGGGTACACAGAACTGTGGGGACACAGGGATTATTTAAACAAGTAGGTTATGCAAGGCCATATAAAATAAAATCTTCAGATGCCCCAAGAATAGCCCACAACTTGCAATACTGAGTCAAATGAGTATTTTTTTTTCCTACCAAAATATTTGTTTAATAGTGTTAAAGCCAAGGACTGATATTTCATTGGATATGCCCTAACCCTAATCCTAAACCTAACTCTAACACATAAAGATGGAGAAATCATTCAGATTTTGAAAAGACTTCATTGTGCTTGTCTGTCCTTGTGAACAGTCATTTGGCCTTAGTTGCTGTATTCTGTAAAACTAGGAGTCTTGAAAGTGTTTGCAGCGCAGTGAGCACCCTACTGAGATTTCAGGTGGGTTAACTGACCTGAGAGCAGCTTGTTTCCACCCTGTGCATCCCATAGGAAAAGTCATCTGTAAACATGATTGCCTCGGAACTGATCACATCATGGAATGACGGCCAACCTGGGGCAGAGACAGTACAAGAACCAAAACAGAGAAAAGAGACACACACCCTTAGGTTAGAGTACAATTTTAAAGACATACTAAGCAAATGATGCAAATCTGTACTATATGATTTATGCTTGACTTTTTCCACCTGAAAATAAAGATCAAAAACTGAAGAATAATATATTTTATAAGAACAATTATTTTTAAAGAATAACCATTTACTCACATTCATATTATAGCTGTATTGGGGTTTGGGGGGGCTTTGTGTTTTGTGAGACATTTTTAGATCATCCATTAGTTTTTAGAGCATTCCCAAACTTAGAAATCTCCCTGTTACCACTCTTACTCCTGTCTTCAGAATCCTGGGGCAGAACCCTGAAACATTATTAATCTTCCATTATGACATTTTCCAAAGCACGGTCAATTGGTTTGTTAACCTGTAAATTATTCCAGCTCCTTCAGAAAGCAAGTTTTCTTCAGTACATTGTTTGGATGATTAAAATGTAAAAAGATGAATGTCCTATTGTCTACATCTTAATCTAATTCCTTGGGACAGGTTTATCTGAGAACATAGCTTATATTTTGTGGGAAGAAGACTGCTCACTTCCTAGGACAAAGTCACGGAGCAGCATTCTTCAGTACATTCTTTCGAATAGCATCTTGTTCCCATTCTCATTTATTCTAATCATTAAAAAAAGAAATTCACAATTTAAGAAACCCATTGAAAAGCTGGCCATCAGACTAGAACATTTGTTTTTCTCTTTTGGCAGTATGAAGAACTAAACTCAGTACTGGGGACTGAACGCAGCATGAGCTATATCCCCAGCCCTTTTTGTATTTTTTATTTTTGAGACAAGGTCTTGGTAAGTTGCCCAGAGTAGGCTCAAATTTGCAGTCCTCCTGTCTCAGCCTCCCAGAGTGCTGGAGTTCAGGCATATGCTTTTGTACAAATTTTTGAGTGTATAGGCAGGTTGTATGTTCAATAACTATTTCAGTGTACTGTACTTTTTAGATACTAGTCTACTAGTATCAAGAATATCTTTTTTTCAATAAATACATTCTCCCCTCAAGGAATTCCCATCTCTAGAGAGCAAATAAACACAGCTACTACAAATGCAGCTGACCTGTTTTGCTTCAGTTTTATTCAATCATCAGACCACATCAATCTGCAGTTATAACTCAATATTTCTTCTATAATGTGAAGTAAATCCAGGACATGCTCAGTTACATCTCTAACATAAGAGCAAGTGTTCCAGATTATGAGGAGTAGCTCCTTGGTGCTTGCTACTCTCTACACTACAATGGGATTTTTTATAAAGATGGCAATAAAAAAGAATTTTCTACCCTTACCCTTAATGTAGCTCTGAGCCCACTCAAATCTATATTTGAATAGTGACATGGCTCACCAAAATAGAGTTCTGTTGACAAAATTTACATATTTTGTTCAAACTGCTTCTTAAGAAAAAATTTCTCTTTACTCTAACTCTATTTCTTCTTCCTTTCAAAAATGTTTAAAACATTTTTTTTAAATTGGAAATGAGTAATAAATTGAAACCAATCCAACTGAACCATGCCTAGAAAGTATAGCCCTCATTCCTCTAATCTTAATTTAACAAAGATTGGTATATAGCTTCCAATTCCCCTACAGTCTTCCATTACCCATAAATAAAAATTAGAAACTTTACTAAGTTAGCTACATGACTCAGTCAATAGAACAGAGCAGAAACCACTGATGAATAAAAATTTATTGTATTGAAAGATAATTACAAACATTTTGTAATCTTCAAATGTTAAATAAGTTTGAAGACTTATGTGGGCATGGGCAATGGCTTAACAATGATGATTTATATTTGATAGCTTTGATAAAAGAAGGTGGAGATGAGATGTGGATCTCAAGCACGCTATTAATATCTTAAGAAAGCAGTCTTCCTAGATTTTTTCTTGCAGACAATTGACGAGCTGCATTGTAAATATGAAGGTGAGGAAGATGTAAAACTGGTCTGTCTCTTCTTCATACTTTCAGTTAGGCACTTTGTTGTCAGCCCTTTGTTTTGCTCTCACCAATTCTGAGCTCTGAGCTTCTTTCTAATTCTGCTGGGCATCTCTATGAAAACTCTTGTATGTATAATGGACTATAGCTTTCTCTAATCAGCTGGAACATAGCTTTTCTTGAATCACACCCATTAATGTCCTTCCATCTTTTTTTTTCTCCCCCTTGGAAAAATTGTTTAAATTTGTCTGCTCAAAATCCCTTATCCTAATCCAGTTTTCTTTGCAAGGGGTCTTTTCTCTTTTCTTTACTCATCCTATTCTTTTTTTGACTCTCATTTTAAAGGGGTCTCTGGGAGGCAGGGGAAATAAATGTGTCTGCTCAATCACCTTGATCAAGAAGCTGAAATTTTTTAAAAAATGCAGATTTTAGTCTTGATCTAATATGTATATAAGGGACAGATTTTAAGGTTGTAATTTTCCTACTAACCACATTTATATTATTTTTACTTC